TGTGTGTGTGTGTGTGTGTGTGTGTGTGTGTGTGTGTGTGTGTGTCATACCGAACCAAGCCTGCTGTTCTCCTTGGACCTCGATAGCCAGACCAAAGTCAGCCAGCTTCACCGCAGCGTTCTTACACTTGCTGGCAAGCAGCAGGTTCTCTGGCTGCGCGTACAACAACACAAACACATTGACGTCAGTAACTTTTACAAGATACATTTCTTCAACACATCATTATAGAACCTTTATAAAGAAACAAGTTTCCTCTGTTTGTATTTTGTGGATGAGGTGGAGGACGTTCTACAAACTGTTCCAGAACTCACAGTAAAGCTCTTGTTCTTGGACTGCACAGTATCAATAGTCCCATTATTTATTCAGTGTGAGAAATCAATGCCACATAAACAACTTATTCTACTTATTTAATACTCTACTATGAAGTAATACTAAGAAATAGCTGTTATTTTTAATTCCTCCCACAACGAAGCAACACACCCCAACTGAGAGAGACGCAAAACTCTCTTTGCAGTCATTCTGAGAGTCTTTGTGGTCATTCTGAGAGTCTTTGCAGTCATTCTGAGAGTCTTTGCAGTCATTCTGAGAGTCTTTGTGGTCATTCTGAGAGTCTTTGCAGTCATTCTGAGAGTCTTTGTGGTCATTCTGAGAGTCTTTGTGGTCATTCTGAGAGTCTTTGTGGTCATTCTGAGAGTCTTTTGTTGTTGTTTTGCATCTCCTAGTGGATCTTTAATCTCTTTGAGGTTGTTTGAACAGTCTTCATACAGAGGTTCTGTTTGAGGAGCACTAGGCCTTTCAGCTGCGGTCTGTTCAGTAATCCATCCATGATGCTAATAAGTGAACTACCACCTTCTGACTCCGGTAGGAGGGCCACTCAGATCTCTGATTTAAACTTAAAACAAGTTTAAAAGGAAAACAGCACAGAAAGTCTGTCAGACTGGAGGAGTAAGAACAGCTGTGGATGCAGCACACACATTCAAAGCGACACTATATTCTAAAACACAGACACACAAAACACAAAGACACGCACTCATAGGCTGAGACAGACAGATGGGACATCCGTTTGTTTACTTGAGGAAGACCAAACACAGCTTGTCTTTTTGCAGCAGTCGTGTCTTTCCTGCTCAGACGCTGATGTAACAGCAATCTGACAAACAGCCACAGAGTCCACAGCAAACAGAGACAACAGCTCCTTGTTTTACAGTTAGCACCGATACCGACGGACCTCTGCCAACAATCATCCCGTCACAGAACAACAGCTGGATGTTGTGCTCCAGCTGCAGGACGACCATGATGTCACCCTCTGCTGGCTGATTTAGAAACTCAATCAGAGGACGCTTGACTCCTCAACAGGAGGCTGAAACCTACTCATGCAATGAAATCACGTAACGGACGGTACATGTAACTCCAGCAAGAAGAGACTTGTTTACTTTCTTGCTGAGAGTCAGACGAGAAAATGTATACAATTTTTATGTCCGTGAATATAGTAATATGAAGCTGCAGCTAGCGGGCCAGCAGGGTAGCTTAGCTTAGCTTAGCATAAAGACTGGAAACTGGGAAACAGCTAAAAGAAATGTTAGTTAGTTATTATATCCATTAATCAAAATCAGTACAGAAAATCTAAATTTTTAAAGTCTTGTTCTGTCTGACCAACAATCTAACAATTAAATGATGAACAATAAATAATCCTCACATTGGAGAAGCTAGAGCCAGCAGATCTTTGGAAATTGTGCTTGAATAATAACTT